TCAACGAACGTCAATAATACTTCTGACCGCAGATCAATTACACACTGTCTATACACACATATCACCCTCCCGCGGCACGTTGTCCCCTCTTATATATACCCGCCTACCCCATCTAGCAAACACTAGAGCATTCGCCAGCCATTAAAAGTACATGATAGTTCTAGAAACGTTGCGTCACAGCAGTCATGTGACTCGATGACGCAACAATATGTATATATACGATATACACAAGCGATGTGTAACTATATTTAAATAGGCATGCATGTGTTATTTATAACAATAGTAGTTTTTTTCTTTTAAAACATAACTATTTATAATGCTCCCTAAATAATAATAAAAAAGATACAGTGAAAGCAATAAAGATTTTGTAGGTTTTGAACCAAACTAAATAACAGTAAACCTTTTTTTGATTTACGGTATTTTCTTATTTTGATGTTTTGAGCTCTTTTGTGTTTAGAACAATATATACTAATTTTTAAAGTATCAAACTGAATTTTTGTTCAATAAAAATCTTTCAAATGCTACTGTACCTTTTTTTCCCCCAAAAACTTTGTCTTCAAAATAAGGGTGCGTCTTATATTCCGAAAAATACGGTAACTGTTTTTAAGTTATTATTTATTAGCAGTAAGTTTCACGTATTTTATCTGTTTGAATCTCCGGTAGGTGGAAATCATTACGTTGTATCCACTCAGTCAAATATTATGAAGCGGTCGATTTAATTCTAAGATATTTTCGATTAAATCTGATGTAATAGAATTTTCACTAAGACATAGTTGCAATAAAGCTAAGATGTTTATTTATTATAATTACCTATTTGGTCTAATTCTAATTAAAAGTAATATTTGTTTTTCTCAAAACAAGGTGAACATAGATTTTAAACATTTAAAACAGGTAATGTTAGAAGTAACAGTTAAATTATAATTTGTATAATCGTTGACATAAGTTATAAGGTATATGAGTATGATGCGTGCACTGCAGTGAAATAGTTATTAACATCTCACGTATTTGTGAAATTATTTTACAGCTGTTGTTTAGACACAATAAAGTTAGAATTAAAACTAATTTTTATAATTCAGTTAAAAATGTGTACATAGTTGCCCAATTGACAATGATTTACAGCTTGCAAGAACTTTCAAATTCAAAACGTAACATTACTAATAGTAACAGTAGTACTAGCAGTAGAGTGAGTAGTAGACTAACTTTTATTAATATTGTTATGATTTATAGATTTTCATACTTTGTAACTTAGTTGTTTAAAAATTAAGGTTAGTTTGCAAATGAATACACAAAGCTTTAGATTTTAGGTCCATTATATCCTTAAAGTTAAAGCATTTGAGTTGTTGTTTTTTGTACATCAAAATTACTGCAAGTGATATAAACCCAAACTAAGTTTGATATATTTTTAAAGTATTTCACATTAAAGGAAATACAGGAAGCCCTATGAAAGAATAAAGGTTCAAATAGCTGTAATCCAGAGATGGAACTTTGTATTACTATCAGATACTTTAGCAATAACAATAGGGTTGTTTTGCTAGTTGGCATGCTCTATTAATCATTGTTTTTTGCTGATATGTGTAAAGTTTTATAAAATAAGACTTCTTTTTGTAAAATAATAAGAAATTTATCCTAGAAAAACACTTCCAGTATCCACAGAGATATAAGTACACTACAATACATTTCTACTTCTTTGCCAAGATGGAGTACAAGTAACTCCTAGCATACTTTATAAACCCTAAAATATAAAGGTTATAAAAGCATATTTTCTGTACACAGGTATTACTAATACTGTTAGTTTCTTCTATTGGGCTAGTATTTTTCTATACTTTTATGATGACATAAAACTAAAATATAATTCATGCATCATTAATTTTTAAGAAAAAATTGAACTAATGGTTAATAAATAGACTAAAGATTATTAATTTTAAAATCCAATTCTGATTTCTAGAAAAATTATGAAGTTTCCTAACTTTAAGTTTATGAATGAACAGTGTTTGCAGTACTGTAAATTATTAGTTTGTACAAAGAAATATTGGAATTCAAAAAATTTTAAATAATAACTGTGTAAACAGCTAAAGCTCAGCTCTTTATGGTAGGTTAGATATAGTGAAATATAAGATGCATGAAAACCAAACATAGAAAACATAATTCTAAAAAGGTATACCACATCTGATGAGACATTTTTGGTGTATTGTATAATTTTTCCTTTATTTTCCTTCTATTATTTATTAGGTTCTTTAGTAAAATATCCTATATTTTGAGGATTTTTTTTTCTATTTCAGACTGTCCAATTTGATGAAAAGCTTAATCTACATATAGATGATTGCTTGTATTCAATTTTTTCCTTTGTTGGTAATTTTAGTTAAACAATTTTCACAAAGAAATTTGATATTTTGAATTTTTTTATTCAGCACCTGAATTTTCTTTTTCTTCCAACTATATTATAAAGGTAATTTTTTGTGTTTTACTCATTAGAATCAAGACAAAATGAGTTTTGCAACTGCTGGTCATGTAATGTTACACACTAAATGTGAGTATTTGGTGTATTATTGAGATAAATATTGTAAAAGTAAAGGTTAATAGCTATTGAAAAGAGTTGTTCATGCTATGGCACATTTACATGAGTTTGAGAAGTGTGATGATTAGTTACTGTATAATTTATCCTTCTGTATCATACTGGCATAGGAATTGCTAATCTTTAGATATGAAATTATCATGCTCTGATATATGAGCACAAGAAACAAGGGTCAGTTGCTTTGAATGTTCTATGTTATCACATAAATGGATATTAGCAGATATAGGAATAATGTTTTTGTTCCATTGTTGTAGGATGTAGTGTTTGATTGCTTTCCAAATCATTCTTCAGTGTTATATTAAAATTAGAATGTAAGGATCAGTACCTTTAGAATAAATTCTTGATGCACTATCCTATACATTATGAATCATTCTTTTCATATAGAATAATACTTTGGCAAATGATCATAAAGTGTAATAATTGCATCTGTAGAAATGATCCATGACACACTTTCCTATACTGGAATGATCTGATAGTTGTAGATATGATCCTTTGCATGATACCCTAACATATAATGGTTAGTATAAGTATATGTAATTTTTGGAACAATATTCTAAAATGTAGTGATTAGTATCTGTAAGTATATTATCCTAGTGTGTTACATTACCTAAAGGTGTAATAGCTATGCTATTCTGTGACAGTATTCAGACATAATTGCAGTTCTCTGTAGGAATTGTAACATAACTGTTACTAATATTGACCTTTATCAAGAAAAAAAACAACACTTGGTTTATTCTGACAGTATTCAATGGTAATGCTACTTATATCTGAAGTTAAACTAACCTATGACTAGTATATATATATATATATACAGGGCCATACTATCAGTGGTACGAGCAGTACTTTTGCACGAGGTGACAACTTGATTTGCTGATTAACTAACAAAGTGAACTAATGGGTTGAGTTGGGAGACACTGAAGTTATATGTGACTTAGGGTGCCATCTAACATCAGTAAACTGTACATATAATATTTAGTTCTGACACTATTGTACAACACTGTTGTATGCTATGAAAAATAAGGGTTAGTATCTTTGGTGTTACACTTTTAATTTAATCAACAACAGCAAGAGCTGATCTTTGAATCCCAAAACTACTAGGATCCACTGTATTAACCAAAACATATCTAACAAAAATGGGGATCAGTAGCTCACTAAAATGAATGAGTTTAGATTTTCAGTTTTCTTTAAATTCTTTAGCCACAATAATGTTCAATTGTTATGACATTTGGTTATTTGTATTATCACTTTATTTTAAAAAGTCTTGGTTTTGACATTACTTTTCTTATAAATACTAACAAGTTTGTATTTTTTTAGCTTAATAAGATTTTCTTATTGCAAAAAAAAACATTGTTGAGAGATACTGACTAGTATTGAGTAGTTTAACATTCAGTTTATTGATCCTGTAGGTAATGAACTAAAGACACAACTGCACCAATTAAAATTAATCTCTAATGCAATTCATAGTTATACATATCCACAAGGGTCAATAATTAGATGTTAAACTGTGTACATACCTGTGTGTGGTTTTACTTAATTCATATGTTCTAAAATATATTTTACGTAGTGGATGTGCGGCTGATGACTACCTCACAGTCTGAGAAAGAGGGAATAATTGAAGTAAAACTTGAAAACTTTACCAGTTACTATGTGCCCATATGTTATGATGATTCATCAGATGCTGCATTACGGTATTCTTACACTGTGACACACGTCACGTGTCGTCACTTAGGTTTTATGACTTACCTCAACCAATATTCGCTGCCTGTGCCATCAGGTGCCTCTTATATTGGGCTGAAAAATTCAATATACTGTGAAGGTCATGAACAACGTTTAGAACAATGTTACTGGAATGAGGTTAGACTCTCACCCTGTCAGAAAGTAATATCTGTGTTATGTGGTTGTAAGTAAACTTTTTTTTTCTGTATCCACATTATTCTGTTTAGCTAAATTTGTTTTTCATAAATTAATAGGCATAATTACATTCTTCTGATACAGTCTTACCTCCATTCACACAAAGCTTTCTCAATCTTCTATCTACCCTCTAAGCATTGCTAAAAAATCTTTGTGCTCAGCACACCAGTCTCTATACCCCATTAATTTCCTGCCATTTCTGAACATGTACATATCATGCAACTACTCTCCACCAATAGTATAGTGCCATCTATATTTGAGCAGCAAGCTCCTTCTGTTATTCCTGCTCAATCTTCACTTTCTTGAGTGGCACAGCATTGCTTAGATGTGTATCTTTTTGCATGTAGCTACCATTTATGAATGTGTTTCTTTCTTTGCTATTTCAATTTTTTTTTTTTAAAGTTTCATTTTACTGTGTTTGCATTCACTTGTTTCAACAATGTTCGGTCTGTCACTCTTTACGGGAATTTTCATCTTCCACCAGTTGCCGTGCCTCCATGTCATTCACTATGGTGGTGAATTGTTCTTCTCCTCTTTTCTATCTATTGCTTCCAGCTCTCCCAGGTAATCTGTGGTAAGATTTTTGACATGTACACTTCATACCTGGTTGATATACCTGTGGTAGGCACAACTTAGATGTCCTTTGTGTGGCTTTGTACTTATTTACACATGGGAGAATTAAGTGGTTTACATCATCAGTGCTTGGACTTGGTAAGTTAGGTATTTATGTGTCCTTTGTTATCTTAGTTACTTTAGACGAATTGTAAGTTAGATATTGATTATTACTTCATTTTTTTAGATAAATTTAATCGTTTTGCGTGTTCGTAAACATTATATACTTTGTAGACTCGGCAACTTTTGTTGGTTTGTTAGTTTGTTATTAATAAGTACTTTAACTAGATATGTCTAGATAGCTTGTAAATTACATATTACTAGTAACATTTAATTTATTGTTCTATCTGAATATTTTTTGTCATTGTTAACTGTGTGCCTTATCCTAATTTTTATCATTGTAGGACTTAATTTTATGGCCTTTGTCACCTGGATTAACTTAGATAAATTGTAAGTTAAATATTGATTATTAATGTGTTTTATAGGTAATTTTAGTTAGTTTGCATGTTCATTATTATACCACACTTTGTGGATTAGGTAAATTTAGATGGGGTGTCCATTAACTAGGTATGTTTAGATAGTTTGTACGTTACATATCATTACTAGTAATATATTATTCATTGGTCTATCTGAAAAATTTTTTCGTCATTGTTAACTATGTGTTTTATCATCCTAATTTTCATCATTGTTGGTTTTGAATGTTTTTGCTTTGTTTACATCACTGATGGGTTTGTTTCTTTCCTGTTTGTAGGGCTGATGTTTGCTTTGGCTCCTTTTCCTATGTTTATAATACTAAAATACCTCATTTTCTCCTCATAATCTATAATTCAGGGTCTTCCTCTCAGTGCCCACATTGTTGATAATTATTTATTGCTATAAGTCAAGTGTTCCAGTTCAGGGCCCTATCGTTCTGACTAACCTTAGCTCTTTAAGTGTTTTTTCGGGAAGTACAAACTCTTAGCGGACATTTTCACTCTCCAAGTATTTGCACTTTTCTTTCCATGAATGATTGGCTCTTACTTGCTTACTACCATTCACTGTACAGAGACCACACTCATCTTCTCCAACAAGAAGCATTACAGGTTCCATTCTTACCCCAACTCTACACCCCATTCATTTGGAGGGGGTTTCTTCATTCCAATCTTAGTCAGGCCCAGCCTTCTCTTTTTCTTTGAGTTTGGAGCAGATAGTTCACAAATCTCTCACTTCATATTTCTTACAGCTCCAGATGATCTATCTCTTTGGGGATGTGGGCTTCCTTGGAAGCTCTCATTCCCCTGGATCGGGCTCATATGCATTCCCTTTGGTGGACACTCTTAAATCAGTGGAACTTCTCCTCGGATCTTTTGGACCACCCTTTTACCCTTCCTTCACCAATCAGAACCAACCTGGCTTTGTGGTTAAGCAGGGTGCTGCTTACTCCACCTTGTCTGGATTTACATCTGTTCACAGACTCATGTTTAGAGGTTTGAGGTTCTTACCTTGCCTTCTGGGAGATTTTCATTCTCTATTCAATCAAGGAATCTTCTCTCCATATCACTGTTCCTGAGCCTTTGGCAGTTCATCAAGCATTGTCCTACTTCCTTCATATCCTGTGGGAAAGAGTGGTTATTATACATTCCGACATCTCCACAGTGGTCACTTCTATCACAGAGCAATGGGGTACCAATTCTAGGTCTCTGTGCTTTCAGGTCATGTATCTCCTTTCTGGGCCCACAGTTACCACATAGTGGTCTAAGCTTGCCATTTTCCTGGCTCCCTGAATCTGGTTATGGATTGGTTATCTCCTCTCAACAAGATTCTCCTCAAAAGATAGTCCCTCGATTCACAGGTCTTGTATGTCTTTGTCAACCACTGAAACACCAAACTTCCTTCCCTTTAGTGTCCAATTCCACACCTGCTAAGCCTGGGGGTGGTCATGTTCTATCAAGATTGGAGTGGTTTTCACATCTATTCTTACCCTCCTATTCGACTCCTCTCCATAGTTCTGTCCCTATTACAAACCACTCCATGTCTTGGCCTACTGGTGGCTCCATATTGGCTGGTGCAACCATCATTCCCACTGCTTTGACCTTTACTTGTACAACCTCCCCTGCCATTACCTCTGTTTCAGCCCCTATTCTGTCAACTTCAGTCGGACACTGTTCATCCAGACATTACCACACTCTGTCTTCATGCATGGCTTTTGTCAGATCCATTGTTTTAGCCCAGGGACTGACTCCATGTGTTGCATCTTTCCTTTCCTGCTCCATTAGACCTTCTTCCATGTCCATTTACCACAGGCAGTGGTATACCTTCCACCTTTCTTTGATCTCTTTGACATGGTTTCCATCCTTCCCACCCTTCCATTCCTCATCTTTCCCAATTCTTCACCTGGTTGTTTAACAAAGGCTTGTCCACTTCGAATGTGTCTAGCTATTGGGCGGCCTTGTGAAACTCCTTCCATTTCTCCGGGTTTTATCTGGTTTTGTCTCTCCCTGTCATTTCACTCCTTTCAAGTCATGTGTTCTACACATTTACCTAATTGGAATATCAATGTGGTACCAAATGCCTTTTCCATCCACCCTTTGAACCTTTTTCTTCACGTTCCACATACCATTTCTCCCTTAAAACCTATTTCCTTCTCCTCCTTGCTAGCAGATATCATAGGTCAGATATTTATGCCTATACTATTATCTGCTTCCTCTACCATTCTTCTTATATCATCCTATATCCTAACCAGTTCTTCCTCCTTCAGGCTCATGCTGCCCATGAAGGCTGTTTGGCTTTCAAATCCATTTTCTTATCTTCCATCTCCCACAAGTACTCCTATTCTGATCCTGGTCAACTTCTTTGTATGGATAGCTCCTTTCAGTGTTATGTAGCACATCCTGCCTCCTTTTGGGCTTTATGTTTCTGACTTTTTGTTTCATGAAACCCTTCTATTTCCCATGATCTATCCCCTGTCATGCTAACTGATTGGGTTTGTCAACTCATTAGGCTGGCATATTCAGACTTACCCATGGAAGGTCACTGTCTCCCCAGTGTTTCTTCTCTTCAAATTTATCATATCACAATGTCTTTGGCTGCTCGTCTTCACCATCCTTTGGGGGAGATCGTTCATGCCAGAATGTGGACTACTCCATATACCTTCGTTGCTTACATACCTGCACGATCTGGCTGTATCTTCTTCAGACGGATATTATCTTCCTCCTGTAGCGATTCTACACACATCCTTTTGGCTTTGGTTAGGGTAAGTTTATCACTTCCTCTCATTTATGCTTCTGTTTTCAGCAACCCTCGTTTTTAACACTGGTAATAGAATCCCACTTTGTGGTGGATGTTACCTGATCATGTATTCTTTGCCTCAAACCTGCCCCATTTCACTCAGTGGTGGACTGTCACTCCTTGACTTCATGAGTAAAGCAGAAAGGGATTTCTTCCTATCCCTGCCAGCCTATTGATTGAATAAATTCTTTATGATTTAATGAATATTTTAATATCAAACATTGTGTAAATCCCTGATGAAGCCACAAAGGTGAAATGTTGGTTGAAATAAAAACATATTCTTTTATATTTATCTGGTTGTTTTTTCTCAACTTTTATCAAAATGAATAAATCAGGGTTGGTCTGCTTTTCAAAATAAGGAACTGCAGATACCTATTACACTTTCTCTAGTGTGAAGTCCTTCAGGACTCCCTACCGTGTTTACTTCCCCCATCTTTTTTTTTTTCTCACAGTGGAGCATGGGAATCCTTACCACTTCCCAGTTACTGAGGTGGTGGACCATGGAGGCTTCCTCCTTAGTGAGTTTTGAAATTTAATTTACCATACATACTCATGATTATACACTCACTGAGAAGATGGTTTCCCCTCCTTTCATTTTCCCTGGATATTTTTTCCCAGGAGGACAGCTGTTAATTGGAGCAGGTCCAGCTTATGTAGAATCCTTCTTGTAATACTGGGTTTGGGAGGCCCCTCTTCTGATTAATTCCAGTTGCAGGTGGTTTTATTCCCTGCTCCTGTAGTTGAGTTTGGTCATAACATCGGCAACAGGACATATATACACTGTTCCCATGGTTGAGCAAATGTTCCTTGTATTCCTCCTAATTTTGGATGCAGGATGTCTCTTCCCTGTATTTACAGTTGAGTGATTTATGATTTCTGCTCCTAATACCATTTACAGGTATTGCCCTGTTCTTACGGTTAAATTGAGGCAATGCCACAATTTCATAATGCTGGGTTCAGTTTGTTTTACTTCTTGCTTCTGTGGTGGTTTTAAAAGTTTTTCTGGTTTTGGCAAAAGCTAACTTCCTCTTTGTAATTCCAGTTGCTTGACATATGACACTATTTACTTATGGTTAGGGTTGTTGAATATATATATAACATAGTCCACATGCCCTAACCACTATGTTTATGTTACAGTATATCTTATTTTTTTTATCTTCAACCTCCTAATGCCGAGGATGAGTTATGGAACCTCATCTGTCCAGTTGAAGTCATGCATGTACATAGCTAATTCTGTTTATATTTTACTATGGATTGTACCTCTCAGAACAAATTGCCTTTGTGCACATACTTTTTTCTACCCATATCAGATTCAGTTCTTACTTCAAGGGCAAAAAGCATATCTGTTCCAGAAGTAGTGCAGTACCCCACTAGTTTGTTAGTTTTAATTTTGGAGCTCATCCGTTCATTCTGGGTGGTCACTTTCTGCTTGGTTTCTTTGTAGTGCAACGAAACTGGCCCCACCACCTTTGCAAGTGGGATTTTAGCTTTTTGTGAGAAAAGGTAAGACTATACTGGAAGTTAACATTTTTCTTACACTGGAAATGTATTTCTGATAGTTACTTGCCTCTTCCCATCCTTCCTCCCCATGGCCGGTATTCTTCTTTTAGAACCTGCCAATTCTCGAAAGTGAGGATTGAGAAGGAATAGCAGAAGGAGCTAGCTGTATCAATATAGGTGACACAATACTATTGGTGGAAAGTTGTCACATGATATGTACATGTTCAAAATGATTGGATATATATAGATTGGTGCTGTGAGTGCAAAACTTTTTGGCAATGCTTAAAGGGCAGATAGAAAATTGAGATAGCTTTACATGAGAGGAGGTAAGTACCTATTGGAAATACATTTTCAGTGTAAGAAAAATGTTAACTTTTTCTAATAACACTTATTTATATATTTTTCTTTCCCTTGAAGTGTATCCTTTAAAAATAGATGCTTACTTTAAATTTATTATGTCTGTTATTTTTTGTAATTTTTTTGACATTAGTGTTTTATTCTTTAAGTACATTTAAAAAAAAATCTTTCTTTATTTGAATCTTATGTTTTTAATCTATAATACTAAAACAACAAATGTAAGACAGCAGGCAACTTAAGACTAAGTATATTGTGTGTGTAAATTACATCTAGCCTAAATGTGCCATTTTAATATGAGTAATAATTTAAACATCTTATAGATCAACAGTTCCACTTTAACACGAATCCTTAAGGGATTTGATTGGAATACTTACTTTTATAACTTTGTTATTAACTATGTGTAACCTTTAAGAAAATAATTGTTCTTATTGCAGAATTAAATAAGTAAAACAGTTCATTATTTTGGTAGGTTTATATAACTCTTGAAATATATTTGTAGAAGTATATGCAATAGTTTTTTAAGTGTATATAAAACAATAAAACTGTTCTGAAGTTTTTGTTTTGTTTTAAATACAGCATAGAAATGTAAATAGGTTAAGATCTTAAATAAGAAAAATAATGCTGAGGTATTTTTAGCTAATTAGAAAATTCATATTTTCTTAATAGTATTGTTTGTACTTTTTTGTTTTTTTTTAGCCTGTGATCAGCAACTCCAAGCGACTGAAGGGCTGTTGACTTCTCCAGGTTTTCCTCATGCATATTTTTACACATTAAGATGTGAATGGACAATTAGTGTATTGCCTGACCAGGATGTTGCTCTTAACTTCCTTGACTTTGTTTTCCCTCCTTCTTTTACAAACCATTCCTGTGAAGGAGGTGGTGCTCATCTGGATATAGCTGCATTAGATGCTAATTCTGAAACATACATCAGCCAGTATACTCGATACTGTTCCTCCAAAACTCCAAATAAACTTCGAATATCAACAGATTCAGTTTTAATAGATTTTTTTTCAGGAATTTATAAACAAAATACAAACCAAAATTCACAGGAATCACTTGGGTTTCGAATGTTTTATCAAGGTAAATGCCATAAACTGTTCAAAGTAGCAGTAATTACTACTTATTATAATAAAGATTTGCAGTATTTAAAAATAGTATATTTTGAAATACTCGTAATAGTTTTTACAACCCTTTACATTTGATGGGTGCCATCAAAGTCATGCTTGAAAGTTCCTGTAAAATGAGTTTAGCAAGGGCTTATTAGAGATCCTGTAAAGGTTGTCATGACACCCACTGTTTTGGGCCCAGTACTGGTCCTTTTATTCTTACCAAGAAGTAAATACTTTTGAATTTTGATCTTGTTATTATTTGTATTGCCATTGGCCATTCAGTAAACTGTTCTTTGTATACATAGACAAGCTCACAGCTACCTTTTTGTGACCCTGTTGGCTGCTATGACTCCGATACTTCAATATTAATTAGCCTAAACTGGTGATGTTATGTGCACAGTAATACTATATTTTATAACTGTGTTGTTATTTATAGACATCAAATATTTGCAACTGAGAAACTAAGTCAGTATTTTAAAGTTTAAATTACAAAATTTGATATTAACTATAAGCAAATTCAGACTAGCAAGAATAGTTTTAGCACATTTGATTGTGACAAAATACTTTCTGCATGATACAAGGCTGCAAAAGTTGCCTGTACTGATCAGCAGAGGTCATCATAGTTCAGTGGCATGCTGCAACCATGTTACAGTTTTGCCAGCAAAACTGTTTTGTTGACAGAGAAACAGTACAATTCAGTAAGTACAAATTAACTGTTATTGTCCAGTTCTGTAAAATAAAAATCATGGTACAGTGTAAGCTGGACTGTTTGGTGGGGGGGCTGTTTACTGCACTCGTGCATTTTTCAAACATGAAGGACTATTGTTAATTTTGAGGCTTTGCTATTATTGTTTTAAAGAAATAGCACTGATGGTCAGAGAATTGGACAACTGAATTTTATATTTATATCTGAATATATCATGTCTATTCAAATTTAATTTTGTGTTTTCTGAGTTATTTTGTATTATTCTGTACTTCATTAAGCATGAATGAAACATACTGTTCATAAGTTATATTGAATTGAAAATACTTTATGGGTAAGAGTTCATAGTAGAAAGTTTTATTGGAACAGTCTTGAGCTGTGAATTTCAGCTATAAAACTGTTCAAGCAAAAGAACTTACAACAGGTTTCAAAAGTCGCTGATACAAGTTAGATTTTTTTATCAAAACACTTTAAGAGTTAAAATTTCAGTAAGCAAAAAAAAATGAGTTTGTTGACATGTAAAATGTACATTGTCCTTTTGTTGTTGTAGTGGAAATTTCTAAATAGAAGTGGCCACTAGACTATAGATACTAACTTTAAATCTTGTTTATTTTTCAGGAGTCAGAAAAGAAGGGTTTAATCATTATACCCTGAAAGTGATTTTGACGACATTAGGCATCATGGTGTTTTTGGTGATATTAGCCTTTTGTTATTTCTGGTAAGAAGTGAATAGTCTATAAGTTTGTGGGTGAATTCTAGTAAACTGATTCTGCTAGTTACATATATTCACGGTGTTTTTGGTGATATTAGCCTTTTGTTATTTCTGGTAAGAAGTGAATAGTCTATAATTTTGTTGGTGAAATCTGGTAAACTGATTCTACTAGTTACATATATTCAGCTGAATAGCTTATTGGCAACTTTCAAACATTTGTTACTGATATATTAATTTGAAGTCTTGGACCCATGCTTTTAATAAGCCATCACATTTTACCAGTTATTTTTTTTAATTTAACTTATTACAACATATTCCATCTGACAGAAAAACTTTACATGACTAATACAGTCTCTTTTTTTGTTACTTCATATAAGCATCAGAAGTTCACCATTGTTCAGTTTTACACATGGAACTATGAAAAAAAGGCTTGGTTTTAAAATGTTCAGGAATGCTCAGAGGAAATTCATGCAAGGCAGTTTAAATTCAACTTGCATAGCAGTTCCAAAGCTTGGGAACTTTGGAATGAAAAAAATTAATAGGAAAACTAGGGCAATGAGGAGATTAGAAAACAATTTAGAACATACATTAAATAAAGAGTGTACTAGTAGCAAAGATGCATAAAGTGCATATCCAGGTGTTTTATGGTTGCTTAATAACTGGATGGTCACATGTAAGAATATATTCAAACCAATAAATGTTATAACCAGTGTAAATTCTTTTAAAAGGTTAATCGCTTAGTTACATTGGGTATCAATATAGTGATAGGCTATTTGTAAATATTTTAAGAAAACATGGGATGTGGTAAATTATGTATGATGTTTTAATAGTAGAATATATTAGGATGCAACAGTGACATAGCCAGGTATGAAATTTTGGGTGGGCTTGGGTTTACTGTCGATTGGCAGGAAGCATTACTTATGATGTATTTGAACAAGGAACCATCAAGCAAACTCTGATTGGATGGGCCTTGATGCTGGTGGGCTGTGTCCCACCCAGGCCCATCTGTTGGTGCCAGTGACCCTCAGCATTCTTTGGGAATTATTGGGATTGACCTGAATTATATAAATATTATCCTTTTTTGGTAAAAAGAACATATTGTGACATTAAAAGTAGATAAAACACCAGGACAGACAGTGTTTTTCCCAAAGTTTAAAAAGAAATCAAAGATCAGATATTTAGGTCTTACTCTTTCATTTTTGGTAGGACAACAGTAGATAGTGACAGGTGCTTGAGGATTAAAAAATTACTAATATTAGTACTATTTTTATGATGGCAATGAGAGATGTTAAAGAGAATATAAAAGCATTGCAAAATAATTTAGTGAAATATGATATAAAGGAAGATCAACATGGAACCACAAAAGAGAAACTATCCCTTACTAAACTTTTTACTTTTTTGAGGATGTTACAATGTTATTTGAATGACAAAAGGTGTATAATTGGAGTACTTAGATTTCAAAATGCTTTTAATAAAGTGTCACACAAAGATTGATTAAAAAAATCACATCTATGGGGATTGGAAAAAGTCTAGTAAATTGGATTGTAGGATGATTGAATGATAGAAAGCTAAAAGTTGTTATTAATGAAGTTCAATCAAACTAGACCCTCATTACTAGTGCATAAGTGTCAATGTTTGGGCCATTGCTTTTTCTCTGTTTAATTGTATTGAAAGGGGTATAATTAGTAAAGCTAGCAGATGACTTTAAACTGTTGGGTATTTCTAGCTGTATTGAGGATGTTGAGGTACTACAGAGTAACTTATGTCAGTTAATTAGTTAAATATTTAACAAATGACTGTTAATTGTAGTAAGTACAAGATAATGCATCTGGGTTATCATAATTTGGATCTTGGCTTGGTGGTGGATAAGACATTCAAGTTACCAAGGCAATGAGTTGTTGCTAGTAGCAAAGCCAAAGCTAATACAATTTGAGGGTGTATTTGTAGTCATGTTGATTACACATTAAAAGAGGTAATTATCTCTTTTTATACAAATACTATGCACAATTTTGGTCTTCTTGTCTAAAAAAAGGATATTTATTTGTTGGAAAGGGTTCAGAGGAGGACTACAAAGATTATGACAGGGATGGAAATGTTATTTTGAATAGGATAGGCTAAGATATCCTATCTTTCTTTGAGAAAAGAAGGGTGAGAGGTGATCTTGCTGAAATTTATAAGATTATCTGGGGGAATAAATAGTATAAAATCCTCTGATTTCTTTGTGCTATATTCTGAATACAAGAGGACACAAGTTAAAGATTTGAAAAAGACAAGCTAGGCTCCAGTTACAACAGTTTTATTTTTCCAAGAGGGTAATTGGCTTAGGAATGAGTTTCCTTCAGTAGTAATGGATGCTGGAAGTTTACAAGTGCTTAAAGAAGGAATTGATAATATTCTGAAAAATAAATAGTGAATTTAATTTTTTATGCAGGGGTAGTTGTGCAGAGACAGCTTTGAAGAACAAAATGATCCCTCATTCTAAAGTTGTCAGTAGCTAACAAAAAAACTCAGAGCTTAGGCTTTAAGAATCAGCTACAACTCAAAATTAAAAACATAATTTCAATATAACATTAAAGTTTTTGTAAGTTAGATTTGTGACACTTTGAAATACACCCTGTGCACCATCCCACAGTGCTGGTACCCAGTGATGATGCCTCTGCCTTGTTATCCATAACTTAATTTAACATTGGTTTTTGGTTTCAACTCTTTGTGTAGTGCATTTTGAGTGTTTTTACCTAAGCTGTTCTTAGCTACAGCTTTACATGTAAATATTTTAAGAAAACATTGGATGTGGTAAATTATGTATGATGTTTTGATAGTTAATTTTCAGAAATATTTTAATTTTTCCTTTCTTTTTTTCCATCTGTGAATTTGTAGTAATAAACGTAAAAGTAAGAAAATTAAACAACAAAAACAGAACCTGTCTTCAACAAACAGAGATATGTGTCACTATCCAGGGGTTCAAGTCGAGCAACACCAAGTCATTACAGTCAACTTTCAGGTGAGCTAGCTGACTGACCAGCTGTTATAACTTAATATCCAAATTTGTAACTTTCTAGAGGCTTTAATTTATCTCCTGCTACAGACGACTGAATAATGACTGAATTTATTATGGCATTTATTCACCAGTCAATATTAAGTCATTAATTACTAGTATAACTGATTAGTTTGTGGTCTGGGCTCATTTCTCAATAACACAGCTGTCTGAACAATGGTGAGATCATTACATGCTGATAGAAATGAGTAGTAAGTGACTTAAAATCACTATGTTTTTGTACAGGTGACTGACCAGTGGCGAAAGAGATCAGAAGTTATTGTTACATGATATAAATATAGAGTAGTAATAAATTACTGCAAATGTACTTTCCAATGGTTATACATTAACAAACCATGATTCCTATGGTTGCTTAATAACTGGATGGTCACTTCCTACATGTAAGAATATATTCAAACCAATAAACGTTATAACCAGTGTATATTCTTTTAATTGCACAATTCTAAGATTAAACTTTCATATAAAATGTAAGTAAGATGAGACTATTCATAATCAAATGGTTAACCCTTTTGCAAAGGGCAAGTTGAAGTGTGCAACAGCCTTTTACAGAATTACATTTAAAATCTATTTAAACTATTTTATTATCAATGTATATGAATAAACTTGGCATCAAAACATAATTAATATGCACGTTATGAGCCAGGGTTACTCTTTTCTGGTGACAAGATATTTCTAACCCATTGTGGCTTTTGTCTGATTTTTTTTGAAATTTTACAAGCTGGGTCATCACACTAAAAAACGTTGATTTACACAATCTCTTTTGTCATACATGTCTTGTCGAGATATTTTTTGATAGATACATTATTTACAATCTACAGATTAAATTTGAGTCGATTGACATCATTTATGTTAATCTTTCTGAGTGCTTGACATAGGTTTAAGGTACTTGCTGTACCTTTTAATTGATCACAGGATAAATGGTCCAAAGATATATAAATGTAAATGGCCTAGATGCAAAGTTTGTTTAGTTTGTAGTTGTTGTGGTTGTTCCTGTGACAGACAGTCTCCGGAAACCAGGTAGGAAGCAACCAGCAAACCCTTTACAATTGGGAAAACTTTAAAATATTGTCATCAGCCATGTGGAGCCAAGTGATAACTTGCTTGATTGAGTTCTGGAAGTGGAAAATCCAACTGAGGTTGCTCAAGTTAGAAAAAAAAAAAGGTCCAAAACAAAACTCATGGTATGTCCAAAAATGGTAACATGACCATTCATGACTTTCAAAACTTCTTTGGTTTGTATGCAAGTATAACAAACAACCTTGAAAGTGAAGAGTGACAAAAAAATGCTACGTCTTTCAAGTCGCTAGACTTAAATAGGGCCACTTGTGTATTTGATGACAATGTACTTTTCAAAGTTTGTTATGCAAATTTACCTCAAGATCCAGAGGGATTGATGAAATCTGTAGTACAAAGAATTCTCTATTGTGAAAAACCTGATTACACAAAGGACATGATAAAGATGCAAACAGCTCTGCCAGAATGGTGTTTACAGAAAAAAGTCCTTGTAGCTATTTCTGCTGGCTTAAAGTTCAAGAATATGTAGGAATTGATTCCTTCTTTTGGCAAGAAAATCTTTCAATCAAGAACTGTTGTGCATCATTAATGAAGAGAATAAAGATGAAACCATCTATCCATCAAGTTCAGTGATATAACTTATCAATTCTTCAAAGGCTATTGAATTTATCCTCTCACCTCAAAATATCAAAACTTTATCATGGGGAGTGCTGAAGATTACAAAGGATCTGAGTTTACCGCAATTTTGCTGTAAGAGAATAAAGGAGTATATGTGTGTGTGTGTGTATATATATATACACCTGGAAAAAAGTTAAGCACCCCCAAATATTTTTCAGG